AAGAGGGTGAAGAGGGTGAAGAGAGTGAAGAGGGTGAAGAGGGTGAAGAGGGTGAAGAGGGTGAAGAGGGTGAAGAGGGTGAAGAGGGTGAAGCTGAAGGAAGTTTCAGGGGTGGGCTGTGAACGTTCGATGGCCAAAATCATTGCTGGGGATGTGCGATCTCTTGAGTTGCCGGCGCCGTGATGATCCAGGCCACGGTGCTGCGGATTTCGAGTGCGGTTCACAGCCAGTGAAAACAACTTGCCTCTACGTTGAACCTCCAACCATCTTTGCGATGGCCTCCAACCTACTAGCGATGGCCTACATGAAAAGCAAACAAGCACCTGGATTGGGCTCTTCCCAACCCGGTGACTGCTCGCATTAGCTTTGGATGTTTTGCCAGAGAAGAATCCCGCAAAACAAGCATGAAATCGCTTCCACGCCCAAAACACATGAGAAAATGCGCCTGCTAGGCGTCCTCTACGAACAATGGCTCGACCGAAGAATGGGCGTCCTCCTACCGAACCCCTGGGGTCCCCAGGCACTCCAGGTGTCCCAGGTAGGTTTCCTGCGCAAGAGTCTTGGGATTGGCGGGTCTATATAATGGATGTGTCAATCTCTCCAATCCCATCAAAGCATGGTTGTTTTCGCCGAGGATTTGATTATATGTTGGAGTATGTTACAATTTTCGTGTAGACTCCCTACACAACTGCAACCTTCTTCCGGGTGGCTTGGAAGGTTCCCCTTCCAACCTATCTTCGCAGCGAGGCGACATGTTACACCACAACCACACTGATGTCTTGCTGTTGAAGAAACGCATCACCTTCCGATTCCAAACTGCCTTTGTGGCTTGCTCTGCCTGAAATGCTGCCCGCTCATTGACTCATGGCAAATATCTCCAGTGAAGAATTCCAAGACCATTCTCTTCTCTCCTCTAGATTCTCTTGCAAGTACCTCGGTCTCTACGACACTTGCAGACCCTTCCATCCCCTCCCCAGTCCGCAGCGATGAGATCCAAGACCCGCCACAACGTGAAGGTGGCATCCACCTGGATTGGGCCCCTCCCGAGGGTTTTGGTCAAAAAGTGAGGTGGGCGATGGGATTCCCCTAAATGGGCTCCTGGACAGTAGAGAAAGTCTAGATTGATTGTTGAAGTTGGGGGTGACGTTGGACCACAACTACACCGAAAAGAAAGAGAGAGAGAGAGAGAGCAGGTGAACCAGGGTAGAAATGCCACAGAAAATGCTCAGCTCAGCAACTATAATATCACTCCAGGAGTGATACAGGAGATTCGGTCACCTCAGCCACATGATCCTGGCGACCTCACAAATACAATGATCAGGTCTGATCTCATCCCACAAATATCAAAGAACTTTTATAACTATTCATGATTTGCATTGTTTCTGTCCATCTCTACTTTCAACAGTTGACTCTATCGTTTAATAAAGTTATATCCTTCTCAGCTGCTTGGTTGCTTCGTCAACGCCCGGTTTTGTGGCGATTCGCCCCGACCCGCGATCACTCCCGTTTGTCATGCCGGACCGATGAGATCATGATGCCTGAACTCGCTCTCTCAGGGGCTTAGAGCCTCCAGCATGTTACTGGTAGTAGTGTCAGGAGCTACTAGTAGCTTCTTGCTCCGTTCGTAGCGAGACTCTTTGTTCCGTTCGTGGCTTCTTGTGATGCACAAGCTCAGTGTTTGTTTTTGATCATATCTCACGCACTTGTCCTCGTGCCATGGCGCTCACCCGTGCTGAAAACGAAACAAGTCCTTTCGGTCCCTTCCGTGACATCTTGGGCTCCAAGACAGCGTGGTTGAAGGTGTGGTAGGGCGCCACCCTCAGGTGTCTCTACACATGCAAGGGGGCGGACATGCAGCCAGCCATGGTGGTGAAACGAACGATGGCCAGACTTCATACTCTGGTCATGCAAGACTTATATAGAACAACCTGGCTGAAAGGTCTCGTGGTGGGGTGGGTGTTGTTGGGAGTGTTGTTGGAAGCCAAGGAGTCTGGGGCATAAAGAATTCAGCTTCCTCGAGCATTTCCGTGAAGTGGGCAATCTCTCAGAACTCTCCACTTCCCTCCAACCGTCTTTGTTTGGCTCGGCGCGCCAGATCCCAAATCCCAGATCCCCGTCCAAACCTGGAATCCAACCCTTCATGGGGATGTGTTTGCATGAAAAGCCCGCGTTCCTAGTAGCGATGCCCTTTGTTCCTCGTACCGACACCGTGGCCACGACCCTCCGAGCTCATGGCTTTCCTCGATCGTAGCCCGCTGCGCAGTGTCTCAGGAAGGACGAGCAGCCTGAGGTCGAAACTAGCTTTCAAACCATCTACATGTTTGGTCAACACCTACCCCAAACCACACTAGGTGGACATCCCTGGTAGACCAAATCCTGTCATTCCTCTTCGGGGAGGAGATGAAGATTGGTGCGCGATCGGAAATCACTCCTTCCTAACCAAAACCAATCCCCACTTACCAATACTTGACCCATCACAACAAACCGAGCCAATCACAAGCCAGGAACGCCAGACCTCTTCAACTAAACCACAAACCTATAGCTCCAGTGCTTGCCCCCTGACACGAGCAGCTCTTTCCCTCAGCTACGGGCAGTCTTGGAAGTCCTCACTGCTCTTCACCTCGGCGCTTGTGCAACGGTCGAAGAATCGCCAATGGTCCTTTTCCACGGCTTGAACGAAACAGCGAAAATCCATCAAAAATCAAGCAATTATGAGATCTCTTCAGCAAATATATAGATGCCAAGCCCTGTTTGACAGCTCCCGTACAGGCACATCCATCTTGAATATGGATCAGAAAAACGACTGACCCTCTTTGGGAAGGCTTGTTGAAAGTTGGAAAACCATGGTTGCGGCCTGGGCGCTGAGGCGCCTACCCACCCACTGCGCGGGGGCTTGGAACACGAACACCCCAAGAAAACACACGTCTTCACGCGCGTTCCGCGTAGCGTTCCGCGTGTGGGTGCCTTGTCCCGGATGGCGTTGGCCCGCTGGGAGAAGAGGACACACAAACTCAAGTTCTGTCGGTCCTGGCGACGATGAAAGTAGCGTCCTTGTTCCTAGCAGCGATGCCAGGAGCCCCTAGTAGCGTCCTTGTTCCTAGTAGTAAGGCCAGGTCACTGCTGGCATTGGATGACCTCAAAAGCATAAGGCCTCAAGAGCACCACTCAGCCTTCTCCAATCCAAGCCCCACTCTACCTTTACTGCACACCGAACACAGCCCTCTTCCTGTTCGCAGATCATTTCTTCATCCCACTTAGCCGCTTAGCCCAGCCAACACCCCGCTGCGTCTGTCCACCCACGTCTCAACCCACCCGCTTTCCGCACCAGCCGAGTCAGGTTGCGTGTCAGACGCTCCCTCCTTCTCGGTCAAATCCAACGTGTCGAGCTCCCATTCTCAGGTCGCTGAGGGGTTCCGCCGGTCCAAACGTGTCGAGCGTGAGAAACGGAAGCACCGACTAAATGCCGACACAGAAGACCCACATAATATCTATCTATAGAAACGTCTACATAGTCTAGCTGCTTCTGGTTTCTGGGCTAGTTGCTTCTCTGTGCCTCATTGGATGGCTGCGATGTCGCGTCTTTGTCTGACGGTGCGTTGTCTGGTCGTCAAAACCCAAATCTGGTTTTGCAATGTTTTGCCCACAACTTCAGCTCACGGCACGGTGCTAGTATCTGTCCTGGTCTCCCAGCTTAAGCGACAACGACAGGACAACCCTCCGGTGGAAT